GAGCCAAAGGGGAACCCACTCCTCCTATCCATGCTTGGCAGTGCTGGGCGCAGGGGCTGTGCACCTCGTCCCTGCTGGGTCCAGCTCATGCTCTTCTCCCCTCCCCAGGCCAACCTGCTGCGGAAGATGCGTCTGACCGGGGTCATCACGCAGGGTGCCAGCCGGGTGGGCAAGGCAGAGTACGTCCGTGCCTACAAAGTGGCCTACAGCCTGGATGGGCGTGCCTTCACCTTCTACAAGGACGAGACGCAGGATGCAGACAAGGTGGGCTGTGATGCTGCGGGCTCCGGGGTGGCTGCGAGCTGCTTCCCAAACCATCCCCACGTTTGGGAAAGTGTTTTTGACCTTGGTCAGAGCCACGCTGGGAACTGTCCTAGCAGTGAGACAGCACAGGCAGTTCCAGTGCTGGGCAGCACTCTCTGGCTCTGTTTAATTGAGCATAGTAAGCATAACGTAAAGAAGCAGTGCTGGCTTATTGAGGTTGTTCAGCTAATACTTTTATCAGGGGCATACTGTGGGAGCTGGGCATAGTCTGGAAGTGCTAGTGAAGAGTTTGCATGGCTTGGTGCTGTGTCTGCAGCAAGCATAAGCTGACAATGTCTCTCACTCTCAAAGCAGTACTCACTGACTGCAGCGCTCTCCACTTGCAGGTTTTATGGCAAGTGTCTCCCGGTTGGTTTTTGAGCAGCCAGGGAACAGCTGGAAGTATCTACCTTGCTTAAAAAAAAGAAAAAAGCAGCTCCTTTTGTTACTGCAGTGGGGGAAAAAAATGTGTGAAAACATGACACAACTGTATTTATTTTGTTAAAAAGAAAAAACCCAACAAAACAAGCCACCTTCTCCCTGTCACAATTTGGGGATCCTTGCTGTAGTGGGAGGCATTTCCTGCACGAGGCTGTGGGAGGACTGGGGCACTCAGCCCTGCTTGCTGCTGCAGGTGTTCCAGGGGAACGTGGACAATGGCAGCATGCAGACCAACATGTTCAACCCTCCCATCACCGCCCAGTTCATCCGCATCTACCCCGTGATGTGCCGCCGCGCCTGCACGCTGCGCTTCGAGCTCATCGGCTGCGAGATGAACGGTAAATGGTGGTGGCTGCCCCCCCTCCCCTCAGGGCTGCAGGGCTGCAGGGGGTGACACAGGGTAGGACATTGTCCCTTGTGCTGGTTTTGATCACCCGGGACAGGGGATTTGTCCGTGCTTGTTTTATCTCACAGTGGCCACATGGAAATACCCTCGGGTGCTTTTGGGGAGCACAAGCTGTTAATCCCACCAGCTCAGCGGGCTGGATCTGTATTCCCACGCTGAGAACAGCTTCCCAAGATGGGGGTTTTATTCTGTCCCCACCTTGTCTGAGTGGTGAACCGGTTTCTATTCCTGCCAGAGAGCTTGAAAAGCACCAGAGGATCAAAGTCCTCTTCGAAATGTGGATGATTAGCCTGAGCCTTTCCTCTGTGCCTCCCACATTCCAGCCCTGTGGCACGTCCCTGGCAGCCAAGTGGGACCTGGGTGCTGGCTGGCAGCAGGGTGCCATGGGGGCTTGGGTCATGTCCTGCTGCTGTGTGGGTGTGGTGCCAGTTGAGCTGTTGGCTGAGGATGTCTTTGCATTGCTCTCTTCACCCATGAAAGCATCTTCCTCTGTCTCCTGCCAGAACTGTCTGTCCTCCTGGGTTGGGCTGTCCCTGCAGCAGGAGGCAGTGTGAGCTAGGGAATAGCTGGGAGCTAAAAATCCCGGGAAGAGGCAAGCTGGCTGCAACCCTGCGCCTGTGCCGAGCCTTTCCCTGCCTGGCCCTGCCTCCTGCTGCAGGCGGTGAAAAACTGGGATGTAGGGGTGGTGCCTGATGGGGCTGTGTGTTTGTGCTCACGTCGGTGCTGTGAACTCTTTCCTCTTCACTGCCTGTGTAAACCGTTGTGTTACAGTTTATTTCAACACGGCAGGTTGCTCGGAGCCTCTGGGCATGAAATCCCGCCTCATCTCTGACCAGCAGATCACAGCCTCCAGTGTCTTCAAGACCTGGGGCATTGATGCCTTTACTTGGCACCCCCATTATGCTCGCCTGGACAAGACGGGCAAAACCAATGCCTGGACGGCACTCAACAATGGCCAGTCTGAGTGGCTGCAGGTGGGTCTTGCTGCCCTCCCTCTGTAACCTCATTTCTCCTCCCCAGCTCCTCCAGCTGTGCCCAGGGCTACCTGCTGTGCTGGGGTGGCTGGAAGGAGGATGGGCATGGTGGGAGAGGCTGGGTAGAGCAGCTTGGACTGTGCAGCTGGAGCCTTGCTGTGCTCTCCCTGAGTTGGGATCGCTGGGGCAGGTCAGGATGGGGCTGCAGCTTCTGGTTTTAGCAGCAGTGCTGGAGTGCTGGGTCGGAGACATCAGCACCCACAGGGATAGGGACAGGGTAGTGCTATCTCCACAGACCTTCTTTTGGGTCTGCATCACCCCCTTGGGAAGTGCCATCCCAGCCTGGTGTGACTGTCCCACAACCCTCCAGCTGCCCAGAACACTGCATTTCTGTTTTGCAGGAAAAAAAATCAGGTCTGTTTTTCTCTTCCCAGTCTAGAATGGGAACAAATAGTTTTGAAATTTCCTTCTCAGTTTCCTTTCCTCCCCTGTTTTTATACTTTTCACATGATTTCATGACATAATGGGACCAAGTGGTTTAGATATTTGTCCCGCTTTTTATTTGGGAAATGATTAAAAGCAGCTGCCTCTCAGCTAAATAAACTAGCTTATCAAAACGTCTGCTGATGAGGTCAGGATGACACGCTGAGTTGGGCTGTTGCACTGCAGGCTGCCTGTTTGTGTGTGTATATGTAGATTTACATGTATACTCTTTTATATATACACATGCATGTATACATGAATATGTATAGCCAGTACTGCCCTCAAAAAGCATAAAATAGGAACTAAATTAAGGAGACTTTCTGCTCATTTGCTGGTTTGCCCTGTAGTGTGCCAGCAGCAGTAGCACAGTGTGGCAAAGTGAAGAGAATAGAAACCATCTCACAACGCAAATGTCAGACGGCGCTGAACTGCATATTTTCTCAGCCAGAATCACTTCTCAGTGGAAATGCATTTCCTCTGGGAATCTTTTATTTATTTATTTTTTTTTAATTGAGACTTTTTTCTGTTGTGCTCACGTTGACAATTTCAGCAAAAACTGTTGTGGTGGCAGGGCTGGGGAAGGGAGCTGAGATGGTGCGGTTAGTGTCCTGCTTTGGGTTGCTTTGAGGGATGCTGCGAGTGTTAAAGGGTCAAATATTTCACAGTAGTGTTTTTTCAGTCGCTCTGGCACTGAAGCAGGGGTCGAGTGGTGTTTTCTCCATTCTTGACTGCTGGGGGCCAGCACATCCTGATTGTCTCTGGGACATGCAGGATGCTCTCTGGTGGGAGCGCTGCTCCTGCGAGGAGCCTCAATGAGCCTTTTGTCTGAGCCAGATTGACCTCCGGGACCAGAAGAAGGTGACAGGCATCATCACGCAAGGAGCCCGTGACTTTGGCCACATTCAGTACGTGGCAGCCTATAAGGTGGCCTACAGTGACAACGGCACATCCTGGACCCTCTACCGGGATGGACAGACAAACAGCACCAAGGTGTGTGTGGGGCAGGAAACGGGGGGGCAGCAACCTGCTGGAGCTTGGGGATGCTGCCACGGGAAGGGATGGGATGGTGCTGGGAAGGTCTTGGTGGTGCTGACACCCACTTTTCCCCCCCACTTAGATCTTCCACGGTAACAGTGACAACTACTCACACAAGAAGAACGTGTTCGACGTGCCCTTCTACGCCCGCTTCGTGCGCATCCTGCCCGTGGCCTGGCACAACCGCATCACCCTGCGCGTGGAGCTGCTGGGCTGCGACGAGTAGGAGCCCGGGCAGGAAGGATGGGGCTGCTCTTCCCTGCTGCCCAGCCCACACCCTGCCTGCTCCTGCCTGCTCCTGCTCCGACCTCACATCCCCATCTCCATGTCCCTATATTCAGGAGGCGGCCGGGAGGGCTCTCCTGCCCCACATTGGCGCTGGGGCCGCAGCACTGCACTTTATGGGGCTCTTGCAGGTGGGATGCGGGGATGGCTCCTGCCCTTCGCCCCCTAGCCAGGGGTGAGACCCCCTCCTGCCACCAGGGCTTGGCTGGGAGAACCTTTTCTGCAACTGGGGCTTCTTTGGGGAACCCCATCCTGCTAATGGAGCTTTTCTGGGGGACCTCATCCTGCAACCAGGGCTTGGCTGCATCCTCCCAGCTAAGCCTGGAGAAAAATGTTCTCCCCCTTTTTGCTTCTGTTTCCAGCAGAGAGGCTGCAGCCAGGGACAATCCTCTGCCTCCACTGGGGCTCCAGACTCAGCAGTTTTGGGGGGCTTAGGGCAGGCACCCCAGCCTCACAGCCTCTGATGTCCCTCCTGCTCCTGCAAGCAGGGTCTCCAAAAAACATACTTGGCCATTGTCCCCTGACAATTTTGCCAGGCACCGTGTCTCCTTGCCCGCATTGTCAGCGCCACATAGTGTGAGGGGAGTGATGAGATGGCTCCTGTCAGCAGGCACCAGGTCCCCATTGCTGGTGGCTCTATCCGGCAGGCTCCGTGCCTGGTGTTTTGGCAGGCGATGCCCATTCCCCTTCCTGGGGTGCAGGCTCCAGCATCCTCCAAGTCTCAGCATCGCTGCCGTCCCCACTTTACTGCAGTCTGGGGTGCCTGCAGGTCCCTTGTCCCCAGAACCAAGTGATGACCAAGGGGGCTGCAATCTGGCAGTGAGGGGCAGATGGTTTGTTGCCACAAGGGTGCAGGGAAAAGATGGGAAAGGTGGTGGTTAAGCCACCCAAATGCAGTAGGCAGGGAGCTGTGCCATGACCCTCTTTATAACCCAATTTTTTCCCTTTCCATGGGGTGGAGGGGAGCCTCTTGCAATACTCAAGTCCTTGGGATTAGCAGTAGGAGACAAGCAAGACCTGGCACTGGCAAGTGGGACTGCAGGCAGGGTGTCGGGGCAGCAGCACTGGCAGTGATGCTTCCCCACGTGCTGGGATGTGAAGCGGCCGCGGGGCCGGGCCAGTGGTGAGTTCGCTTTGGCAAGCATTGAGGGGGCCCAGGGTGGATGGCAGTGGTGGCCCTGCTCCAGGGTGTCTCTTACAGTATTAAAACCAGCTGAAACCTTGGGGCTGTCAGCTTGGCTGCTCTGTGCGTCCTGGAGAGCCGTGTCCCAAAGGCCAGTGGGTCTGGCGAGCCCTCAGGATCTTCTCCCTGGCTCCCATGTTGGCCTTTCATCTGCCTTCACAGACCATCCCAGCTCCCTTCCTTGCCCTAAAAGGAGGGGACTGGGGCTTTGTGCATCTTCTCTGCTGCCTCCACCCATCACAGCTGCTGGAGCCTGTGCTCGCAGCTGGCCAAGAGTAGCAGATGGGACTTGGGGAGGGGAAGCTGCTATTGGCACCCCACGCCCTGTGTCTCCTCCTTTGGCTTTGATTCTGCAGCAAATTCCCCAACTTGGAGCAAAACCAACACTCGCACCCCAGTGGTCTCCCAGGGCTGGGTTTTGCCAGGGCTGCCCTCAGGGTTGGTCCCAGCAGAGCCTCCCTGGGGAGGGCAGTGGGACAAATACTCCTAGAGGAAGATCCCCCTGCATCAGGTATGGAGTCCCTGGTAGGGAAGGAGCACTTGGCTGAACAGGGCAGCTTTACTCCTCTCCAGAGTCTTCCACCACAAATGAGTAGGGGCACCTGAGGTTGGCACGAACAGCCCAGGGCTACCTGCATCTCATCACAGCTCCTTACAACCTCTATGCACGTTTCCACAGCCAGCAGTACCCTGCTGGGCCCTACATTCCCTCACCAGGCCCTGCCCACAGGAGATGGGCTCCTTCCTGGCCCCATGGGTGTGAGCCCCCAGCACCAGAGGGGCTAGAGGCCTGCTTGCAGAGATGGGGCTGTATTCATTGTGGCTGTGGCTGCTTGGTGACAAATAGCAGCCACAGCTAGAGCTGGCGATGGGGGGACAGCCAGCCTGGTTCACCTCCAGCCGTGGTGCCACCCTTATCTCTGGGAAGCTGGGGCAGAGATAAGAGCAGTTTGCTCCCGAGTGCAGCCAAGACAGCCCCGAGCCAAGGGCAAGGCAGAGGCTCCACAGGGAGGGGGCTGGGAGCAGATGCCACATGTCAGAGGAGGGGGCGTTTCCCCCCCGGGTGCAGCCAAGACGGCCCCGAGCCAAGGGCAAGGCAGAGGCTCCACAGGGAGGGGGCTGGGAGCAGATGCCACATGTCAGAGGAGGGGATGCATGCTCAGTGCCCAGCCACCACTTCCCCCTGCCTGTTCCCACCCCTCAGGTGACCCCTCTGACGGATGCTGAGCCCCTTCCCCCCTTCCCAGCTCTGTGGTGTTTCCTTCCTCCTCTGGAACCTGAGGACTGGGGTTGGTGAGGGCTAGGGAGCCCTCCACACCATGCACAGCCCCTTACGGCTTGTCCCTGTCCCTCGGATGCTCTTCCTGGACGTGGCAGGGCTGCTGGGGCAGCAGGAAGGCTGGAGGGCCAGCGTGCTGCAGCCACGACACCCTGCTGCCTGCTGACTCTGCTGCCAGCTGCCCATGAGCTGGTTCCTCAGGAAGCAGCCGTCGGGGAGAGCATCCTCTCACCTCCACCCGGAAAGCCCAGCACAGACCACAGCCTCCTCCATCCCAACGGGAGCACTGGCTTTCTTCTACACTTTGAGCCTTGGGTGGCAGGTTCCTGCTGGAATCATCCTGCTCAAGCGGCATTTCAGTGAGAAATCTCTGGTGGGGCCACAGCAGAGCTGTCAGCTGCTGGATTGGAGGCAGGGAAGACAGGGATGACATTTTTATGGCTCCCGTTCAGCCAAAAGCTCAGCCAGCCCTAAACACATGCCCTAAACATGTGCTTCTGGGTCAGAGAAACCCTGACCCTGCACAGCATTGCCCACCCTGAAGCCTGCTGTCCCACCCAGGGTCCTCTCCTTGGGGGGCTCAGCCCTGGGGCTTCAGCCCAGGTCACTGCAGAAAACACATCTGGGATCATCCCCAAAGCACTAAAAATAGGGTGAGAGGCAGGAGAGAACAAAGAGTAAAGGGGATTCCACTTTCCTGGAGGGGGCTACAGGTGGCTGGATCCTTCCCCATGCTACCTGCTGCCTGGCTGGAGGTGCAGGGCATCAACAGCTGCATCCATACAAGAGTTGCAGCCAAATGCCAGCCATGAGCTGTTGCTGAAAAGAGTTGCACAAAAGCCTCCCTCTCCCCTCCCTGCTGCTGCTCCCCTCCTCGGGCCAGGCAGAGGATGGCTCCTGGCAGCCCTGGGGTGCAGGCAGTGCAGGCAGCACAGGGCACCGTGCGGCTTGTTCCTCCACTGCAAAACAATGGGTTGACCATGCCAAGGAGCAGCGTGCCCCAACAGGGCTGTTCTTCTGTCTGCACTGCTGGGAGGGTGGAGGGGACCATCCCAATTGCTGGGTGACTGGAAAACACACAGTTGGGTGAGCAAGCTGCAGTGGGGAACTGGCAGACAGGATACAGCTAAGATGTAGCTGGGACATCATCCTACCACCTCCTCCAGCTATGGGGCAGGGCTGGGGGGTCTGGGGGCCCTCAGCTGGGATGCATCACTGCAGAATCCCCATGCTGCCTTGGATGTTACGGCCCCTCCATTGTGGACCACAGAGCAGCTGGCTCTGGGCAGGCAAGCAGGCAGCGTGCCCAGCTGTCACGGGCCCACGTCCTGACCCTGCTGTGTCCCTTCTCCAGGAGGGCTGGCAGCCCCGACGGGTGGATGTGCGGGGAAAAGGAGAGCAGAGCCTCCAGACCCTGGGTCCTGCAGCCATCCCTGGCTGGAGCTTCCCACGGGGGATGGGGGCTGCCAGGCTGGCGCTGGCGGCAGATAACGCTGTTTCCGTGCCGGCTGTTCCCTATCAGCCTGTTGGCGGCGGGCAGACCAGATCACACCCCGAGCACGCTGCCCTGGGGGGGCTGTCGGGAGGGGGTCCCGGCCCCCTTCACCCCACAGACA